TGCAGGATCTTAAAAACAAACTGAGATTTGCACCTCGTATTCTTTTTAACTTAACGTTATTTCTTGTCATTTCTCAGCGGCGTTGTATAGCTTATACAGATAGTACAACGTCGTTAAATCAGCAAACAAGGAAGCATTCTGTTTTCTGAATAAAAGCTTTAGAAAATGTTTGCGATAGAGAAGCCAAAGGCTTCATTAGAGTTAGTGCCAAGAAGAAGTAAATAAATGTGTAAATTTAGAACCGAGGAGATAAAATTAGGTAATATTCTTATACTCCTCGTTTTAAGAAGTCTTAATTAACGAATACTTGCTGTAACGCACTTGAACAATTAATATTTGTTTTCCGGCTTGCGTAATAAATTTTTGCTATTAGAAAAGCATGCTAAACGAAAATGTGCCAAGCCGTATCTCGGAACCTCAGCCATTTTCTACCTGTGAATCATCGCAAGGCGACATCGACAGCTCCTCTCGATTATCTTTTTAAGATACATGTACACATCGAGTATACAGTTATACCTAATACCTGCAAGTTAATGCGTGTCCATACTGCCTCCTTCTTCAGGGCTAAAGTATGTAATGTTTCTCCGATCTGTTGGTATCTGCCTATAAGTCAATACAGCATTACAGACCAAAATACCAAAAACGACACATTCATTGTTAAATCTACAACTCATATAATGTTCAAACGCACTGTACTTATTGGATATCACTCCTCCCTCGTAAGCCCCACATACACGCAGTACTGTTGTGTTGAAGAAGTTGCCGCTCCTCAAGGCGTGTAGTACCCCTGCTCATTTAAAATCACTGCAGTTTATTCTGAAATCTGTAGTTAAGAAGTCTTTACTGAAAGTGCGTTAGATAAACGAATTATGGAAGACTGTATTTGCCATTTTGTCTGTTTGTCCAGTCGTCTGTTATTAACGTATTTAAGCTAATTTGGAGAACTAACACTTGCAGATCGATTTTAGTTTAATTTGTAACATTCATATTTATAAACAACTGTGTTACGATATAATTAAAATTATCAGTTTTAGAAACGTTTGTATTACGAATTATTGGTACACTGTACGTGGTGTAATAATAGATTATAATTAAAATCGGAAAACCTTATTTGAAACATGATTGAATACGGCCAACATGTAACTAAACACAAGTACAAATAATTTATGGCTTTATGCAATGTCATATCTGCACCATGATTAGTTTGGGAACAGTAGCTCTGTCACTACACGGTACAAAATCTTTCTTAAAACTGATAAGAAGCCTTTGTGAAATTGTTTACTTTTATACGAGAGGAACCAGAAGAGTCATTACCACGCTTACAGATGTCCTTGGAAATTAGAATGCAGTCTGTATTCACACATACTAATAAAGTAAAGCTGCCCCACTATACGCCACGTAGGCGCTTGGGGGGGGGGGGGGGGGGGGATAGCTTCT